TCACCTCCAATGCTATGATCAACGTAAGTGCTGCCGGCTGAGCCATCGCATTTGCGAGGAGGCAGAGAGAGAAGCGTTTTCCTCCTCCTCTTCCTCCGTCGTCCTTCTTCCCTCCGGCACGGCCCCGTTTTCTCCCCGTGCACCGGCTTTCTGCAAGAGCTGTGCGTTGGCGTGGGCTCAGGCACGGCCGGGAGCTCGGTGCCGGCTCAGCGCCGTGGCGAGGGGATGGGAGTTGGGAAGGTGCAGCCCGGGGAGCGGGCACGGGTGCATGTAGCCCCCTGAGGCACAAGTCCGCTACATCCTTACAGCGTGCTTTCTGGGGAGGCTGCTCCAAAATAGGATGTTTTGGATGTAGAGCCAGGTAAAGCGGAGGCTTGGGGTGCAAAGGGGTTTTCAGCTGTTCCTGGGGGTGCCTTTCTGGCTGGCACAGTAATTCGGAGCCCGTTGCCTGCTGCGGATTCAGACCCACATCCCCACATCACTCGCAGCCTCATTGACTTCCAGGAAGCTGCCCTTGTTTTACACAACCGGGGGATTTAACCCCTTCGGGGTCCGAGAGCTGTCTCATGCCGGCTGTGCTCCCCCAGACCGGTTGGTTGGAGGTTGTGAAGCGCGTGCCGGCACCGGCGCTGGTCCCTGCCTTGTGCAGCGTGACGGTGCTTTCTGATTTTCTTTTGGACAGCTTCTGTTTGGGGTGTGGATCTGCCTCCATCGCAGTGAGACAGCCCTTCCTGGGAAGCCTGATTTTCCCTGGGGAGCTTTGGAGAGGGGGAGAGAAAGTAAAACTAAATAAATTATTGAAGGAAAAAAAACCCCAAACCTAAAAGCCTAACAGACCTGGAGTAATACATGAAGGCAGAGCTTGGGGAATTGTGCATGGAGCAGTGCTGTCGCCGTGCTGTCCCAGCTCTGAGCAAAAGGAGGTCGTGTGTTGTTTTATGTGAGCTTTTAAAAAATAATAATAATCCACAGCGGGAGCTGGAGGGCACTCAGGAGCCCTGTGATCGCAGCATCCTCCCTGACCCCACTCGCAGGATTTTGTAGCTGGGGGCTTCCTGAGACGGTGTCTCGCATTTTGGAGCAGCTTTGGGGGTGCCTGTGCAGCGCTCTCCCTGCGGAGAGTTTGTCGAAGTTTTTGGAGCGGGGATGGCAGCGTGTTGCGAGCAGCGCGAGGTGACGGTGGAACCCTTGGTGCTGCCGGGAGCAGCGGGGGTTTGCTGTTACGAGGCAGACCAGCGATGGGATGTGGGCAGGGAATTGCTGGGGAGAGGATTTCTCCAGCGGCCTTTTGGGAGGGGATGAGCAGAGCAATATTTGCTGTGTCCAGCCTAGAGAGGAGGTTGCAGTGGTTGTGACGTGATAGAAGCTTGAGCGAGGCTGTCTGGACAGTGGGAAAGAGCACAAAAACTGTTGTGCAGGGAAAAAAACGGTAGAAACATGGTTTGTCCAAAACACTGAGCAGGTAAGAGGGGCCAGGGAGGCAGCGAGGCATGTGTTTTCAGGTGGATGTCAGAGATCTGTTTTTAACAGCACCCTTTCGTACTTCAGCTTGTGGCTGAGCGTCTCGAGGAGGTGTCTGAAGGGGAAAGGCTGTAACGTGGAAGAAGCAGGATGGGGCGGTAGTGGAGGCTCTCCCAGCTTGCTGATGAGCCCGTCATTTTGGGGGGAGGTGATGCAGCTGTGGGCAGGGGGACGCTGACCCCCACAAAGCAGCAACGCTTTGTGGGGGGATGGATTAGAAAGGCAGGAGGAGGGCGAGCAGGGCAGGGTCGTGGGGGCCAGGAGGGAGGGGGATCCACAGCCTGACCACTCCGTGATGGTGGGCTGGTGCTCCCAGCTACGCTGCCACCTTTTCCTGCACAGATCCCTTTTTGCGCCTTGATTTATCTTTTTAGCATGGGGTGATGCCTTCCGCGAGCTGCTGCGCGGACCCTGCCCAGGGAGTCTCTCTTGGGGTGGGGGGCGGCTCTGTGCAATGCAAAGGTCCCGAAATCGTCTGTATTGAAACACGAAACATCGCTACAGGGAAGCACACGGAGTCAAGCCATCTCCTGGCAGTAGGTGAAAATACACGCTCCTCCTGTCCACCTCGATCCCCACGGGCTTCTCAGGGCCACGCATCCCGTGGGAGCACAGGGTGCTTTTGACGGGTCGGTAGTTCCTCGCAGGAGAAATTAAAGATCCTTCACCTGCCGGCTTTTGCCCGGAGAGGTCCCAGCCGGCAGCGGTGGGCTGGTGCTGGCATATGGATGCTCTGCATCTGCGGTCTGCCCCAGCCCCAGCACCAAACCTCGCTGATCCGCTCCCACCCAGCGCAGCCGAATGCTGCCTCCCAGGGCATTGCCTCTGCCCGCGCAGCAGAGATTTGCTTTTGCAGGAGATGCTGTGGCTCACATCCACACCGTGGCTGGCTGGGGACGGTGACACGCAGCACTGTCCGTTTGTTGCCGAGGTTGTGCTGCATTTGCTTCTTTTTTGGTTGCACCCCAAACAGTTTAGGGGGGTTCGGACCCGTGAGCCATCGGCTACGACAAAACCCCGGGAACCGCCTCTGCCCCTGCCCTCTTCCCGAGCAGCGCCAGGCTCATGGGAGCAGCCCTGGGCTCTGTGCTTGGATCCTGCTCCTGGCTGGGACCTGTGTGGCCAGCGTGCCCTGGCCAGTGGGCAAGGGACAGGGCAGGGCTGGGCTTTGCTGCCTGCAGCGGGAAGGGACGGATGCTCCGGCGCCGGCACTGGCGGTTTCCGTCCAGCCGCCTGTGATCGGATTATGTAAATGTTCCCGGAGCCGCAGGGAGCGGCGGCAAGCAAGTAGAAATAAATACATACATATGTAAATGAAAGAGCTTCGCTGCGAAAGTGACCTCCTCGCTGCGCGCTCGGGGTGCCAGCCTCGGCTGATTCCGGGTGCTTCTCTGGAGATCGGGAGGAGAAAGCGGCTCGGGCTGCCCCTGCGCGAGTGATGCTCGGCATGACGGAGGAAGATTTGGGCAGAGGCAGAGCAGGACGTGCCGGACCTTTGCATCACAGGTGAGGATGTGAAACACGGAGGGACTGACTTGTTGCAGGGCTTAAATTTAAGCCCAGAGCTCTGTGAGCCACCCGTTCACTCTGCTCCCGTCCAGACTTGGAAGTCTCACGTAACACCACCCTGGGTGAGACTCGCAGCAGAGTTCAGCCTTGCCGGGACCAAGATGCCCCGTGTCAGCGGGGCTGTGTGGAACGATGAGGAGGAGACACAGAAAAGCAAGTCGCAATCTGCCATGGGGGAGGAGTGGGAGGTACATAAAAATAAGAAGCAACAAATTTAAGTGATAATTAGAGGAACACAGACGAAGAGTGCTGTGCTGAATTGCGTAGACTCATCCAAGGAGCAGAGAAAGCTCCTGTCTCATCATTTAGCAGCAGACAGCAGGCAGGAGGGCCGTGCGGACATGCTGAGGAAGCCAGTTTGGGCGTCAGGAAGAGCTTTTCAGGGCTGTGGGTGGTGCTAGAAATAAGTTTTTAATGGGAATGGGGTTTGTTACAGTGACGCTCAGAGGCGGCCGAACTCTGTGCAAGCGTGCAATAGCTGCGCTCTTCTTTTGGCATGCTTTGTGCTTCCTTAAGGGACGTGAGCATGGAGAGCAGCAGGCCTTGGGCTTGGCTGTGTGTTGCTCCTGGGTTAGTTTGCATTTTCCTTCAAGGTTTACGAGGAGCAGAGGTGGAGGAAGGCTCTGCTGGGCCGGCGCAGCCTGGGCAGGGAGGAGTTAGAGAGGCAGCCGGGGCAGGGGTGCGGTGCTGGGTGGGAGACGCTGAGTGGGCAAGATTTCGTGAGGAGGGAGCCCTGCATGAGCTGGCGTGGAGCAGGTGGTCCCAGGGACCCGAAGGACTCCACGCCTGCCCTTAGGAGAGGCCACCCTGCCGGTGGCCTCCCAGGATCATCACGTG